ATCTTTTATTCTTTAAATTTTCTTGATGATGTTCAGTTTTATAATTTATAGCTCCAAACATTGTCATACTATGAAAAAAAATGAGATGTTTGACTCTTATCAGAACTGAACCCCATCATAAGTTGAGGACTGCCTGTTCTCATCCCCACTTTTTGCTTGCTTTTAGCATTTTATTATTCATTTGTATTTGGACTAAATGGATTTAACTACATAACCTTCAAAATGGACAATTAGGTTTAATATTCTTGGAAAGGGTTGAATAGAAAAAATATTGCAAAAACAACAGGAAAAAGGCCAGTCCTCTCCCATATGCTGTTGATAACATGCAGTCTCAACCTAAAGAGGATCTCTGGTGGAGTAGTCTGGAGGGTATTGGTTAGGCCGAGCATCTTCCACAGTCGTCTTAAGTTTACTTGCTGAAGAGTAAGCAGGCAGTATTTAATCTCTTTTCTTTCAACTCTTGTTTGAAAGTGCAGAAACATTTTTCTTTTCTGAATGCTGATTAAAAGCTTGTTTTGTGATAATCTTGGGAAAAGTAACTATTCAAGCCAGGTGAAGAGGAAATTTAATACATTTTTGAGGTATGATGTTGCTATGTGCGGTCATGTTGGGCCCGAGTCATAGCTGACCCTGCCTCTAGTGGATTTGCAGAGGCTATAAATCACATGAAAAAAGATTGACTGTTCTCTAGTGGAGCAGCTAGGGGGTTCAAACCTCGTATCTTTGAATTTTTAGTACAATTCCTTAACACTAGGCCACCAGAGCTTCCTTTTGAGATATTGTTGTTCTTAGGTTCTGTCAAGTACAGCTCATAGGCAGGCACCCTTTGAACAACAGACTTGAATTCTGCCCCTGTCCTGTTCCATCCTCATCCTCTCTGACACACTCGATCCCTTAACTGCAGTCACTGTGTCTACTGTGCATCCATCTCATTGAGGGTTTTCCTCTCTTTAGTCCCCTTCCAAGTAATAGCTTTTAACAACATGTCCTAAGTATGAGAGATGAAGTATTGCCATTTTTACTTCCAAGGAGCACTCTAGTTGCAATTTTTCCAAGACATACCTGCTTATTCTTTTGATAGTCCATGGAATATTCACTACTCTTCTCCAACACTGTATGGTTCAAAGACATCAGTTTTTCTCCTGTCATCAGTATTCATTGCCCAGCTCTCAAATGCAAAGCAAGTGATTGAAGAGATCATGATTTGAATCAGGTGCACTTTAGTCTTCAGACTGACATCATTGTTCTTCCTGGCAGCACACTTGCTGAGTGCAACAGCAGGCATAAATTCCCTGGCACCAGGTCTATTAGTTTGTAAAAACCAAAAGAAAACCCATCTCATTGCCATTGAAGTGGAATAGCTGACCCCCAGGGAGTGTTTTGGAAATTGCCAGTTGCTTGGGAAGAGTTACCCATCTTTGTTCTTCAGAGTTGCAGGTAGATTCAGACTGGCTGAGAGTGCCCCCTTGGCTTTGCAGTGCAGCTCCCTCAGGACTGTACCACTAGAATTCCTCTATTTATTAGTAAAGTTGTTTAATATTATACAAATTGTCTTAAGGATTTCTGTCTTAATAGGTTAACCTTTGAATTTCTAGTACCAAAAGTCACATTTAAATAAGGTTATTTTTTTAAGTGCTACTTGTTTTAGTTTACTAGAGCTACTGTAATGAAATACAACGGTGGGTGGCTGTAAAGAACAGAAATTTATTTCTTTAATACTGGTGGCTACAAGTTCAAAGCATAACCTCAGCCATATTGTTTTTCTGAAAGCTTTGAGAGAAATGCTTTGTGCCAGGCAGGTTTCTAGCTTCTGATTGCTGGTAGGTGTGTTTGGTGTAAATTTGCTGCTTTACACTCATTCACTGCTGCTAATACATGCCAGACGTCTCTGTGTTTTCCTGTTTTTCCTCTTAAGCTTGTTCTTCCCTTTCATGAGATACCATTGAGAAGCAATTAAGACTAGAATTCACCCTACTCTGTATGATTTTAAGCATCAAAGACTGTTTCCCAAAATATGGTCACATTCACCAGTACAGCACTTGGTAGATTTGAAATGCTTCAACATATCTCTTTTTGGGAACACAATTCACTACACAGTGTTTTGAGTCCCTAGGTACTAGTTCCAAATTTATGTAGCCAGCCCCCTTAAAAGCCCGTTATATTAAAAATATTTTTGGTTGTACCGTGTTAAAGATGTGCTAGTTGATAGAAATATTTATTTAATATTTTTCATGTACAGGAAAGGGCAGTGTGTATTATAATAAACTGTTAGATGCAGACCACATCTAACTGTCCCCAGTTTACATACAAATTAGAAGTAAAGACATATTTAAGATCAGAGCTGACTATAACCCAATGACTGCCTAAACGGTTTTTAGTTCTGACAAGTTGGAACAGACTCATAGTTGACCCTCCAGTGGGTTACCAGAGACTGTAACTAGCATGGGAGGAGATTGCACCTTTTTCTCCCTTGGAGAAGTTAGTAGATTTGAACTGCCTGTCTTTGGCTTGGCAGCACAACTCTTTACTTATTAGACCACCACAGTTCACTTCCTGTGCCGATGTGTTTTGTACAGTTGCTATTATTGAATGGCTTAGTTTATATAATTTCAGCTACAGTTATACTTTAAATCTATTAAAATTATTGCGGTCCAGTTGGAAGAGTCTCTAGTAGGTTTTTGGAGGGTTTAAATTACAGGAGAAAATTGCTTGTCTTTCTCAGAGCTGCTGGTCAGTTCAAATCAACTCTCAACAGACTATGCCGCCAGAGCTTCCTAAAAAACTCTAGGGGCTCTAAAAATTCATTACTGTCAGTTTAGAATCAATTCACTTCATCTTCCAGCAAGCCTTTGGAGACTGTTAATCACAATTATGGGAGATTGCTCATCTCTCTCTCTCCCAGGGCCAATTGTGGATTTGAACCTATAGAGAGGTATCACCTTTGGTTAGCATGCACTTCTCTATGGACTATACCCCCAAAGCACCCCTCTATATTGGGCTAGCCTAGAGATTTTAATGCCACTTTATAATACTTGCTTCTTCTATAGCAAGATTCTTGGCCAGAGTCATCTGTAACTTTCTATCCCTTAAGTCTTGCTTTCAAATTCCAAAATTCTGGTGGCCTCTTGGATAAGGAAGTGGCACTGCCAGTTCAAAGGCAGGAGGTTAAAATTTACCAACTACTTTCAGAAGAAGGATGGACACTCTTCTTCTGTACTATTTACCGCCTTTGAAACCCTGCTGAGGGTCACATGTGAGTTGGTCTGATTTGACAGCACATAACAATTCCAAAACTGGACAGAGTTTTGCAGTCCCTCCTCTTCTGGAACAGTGCTTGTCAAGTTCATAAACCAAACTGTTCTTGCGTAGTAGTTTCCAGCTCCTTGTGTTGCTGTGGAATATGGTACAACTAGTTCATGGTTTCCAAAGCTGTCATCGTTTCAGGAACAGACTGTCACATCTTTATGCTGCAGAGCAGCTGAGGGGGTGGTTAGTTTGAACCATTAACCCTTATGTTAGCAGCAGAGCACTTAACCGCTATCTTGAAAATCTTCCTGTTTTTAAATCCAAGAATTTTTTCCTCTGTCTTGATCTTATTTAAAGAGTCACTGGGTGATGTGGATGATTAACGCTTGACCTTTTTTGCTCAAAATGGAAGTTCAAGATCATCCATTTTCCTTAAGATTTTTAATTTGTATAAATGCAGATTTGCAAGAATTCCAGTCTTACGGTAGTTATAGTGAATGTTCTAAAGGATTTACTGTTTTGTGTTTGGGTGTTTGGTTTCATTTTAAACTCCACTATTTTGAAATAAAAAACAAAACAAAAACCCTAAAACTCAGTTGATCTATTCTCTTAGTTTCACTTAGAAAATGGTGATTCCCTCCTGGAGGCAGTGGTTGAGTGCTTGGCCGCTAATTAGAAGGTCAGTGGTTTGAACTCGTCAGCTGTTCTGTAGAAAAAGAGATGTGTGGTCTCCTGTAAAGATTTTACAGCTTAGAAACACTATGGAGCAGTTTTACTCTCTCCTTAGGGTCTTTCTGAGTTGAAATCACCTTGACAGCAATGAGTATTGTTTGCCCATTGATAAAAATAAATGTTTGTCTTTGCTGAGAAAATGACCTAACTTCTGCCATGTCCATTTTTCACCATTGCATGCTTATTTTGTTTTTCTTTATGATTTTTTACTCTTGTAATAAAAATAGAAGCTCCCTCATACATACGTACCTCCTTCACTGTACATACGTACAGTGACATTTTTAGTCACCAAGATATTCTAGTAATGGTTGACTGATAAAGCCTGTGTGAATAATTATTTTACATGAACACTGCTTTTTTCCTTGCCTTCGTATATGATGCACCATCCCAAGACAAAAAATCCAACCAACCACCAAGCCAATAGGCATTGAGTTGATTCCAACTCATACTAACCCTGTAGAACTGAATGCAACCATCTGTAGGGTTTCCGAGTCTCCAGATCTTCGAGTAAGCAGAAGTCTTTTCTCTCTTAGAGGGGTTGGTGAATTTCAGTCATTACTCTTTTGATGAACAGCCAAGTTCTTTTACAACTGTACCACCAAAGCTACCTATAGTCCCTAAAGTTAAGCACAACTGATTGAAGTTATGAAACTAAAAGTTAAGACTTCATCTATTAATTCATCATTGCATTTATTGATGAACAACACTACCTGAATTTTCACCACACTCTTTTCAGTTTATAATATAGCTTGTTTCCAGAAGTACTGTTCTTACTAAATTTATTTAAAAATTATTTGTCAAGTTGTCTTTTTTTTTTTTTTTTTTTTTTTGGCTTAACCCATGACATTTAGAATAAAATTGTTTACTTTGAAAGGAATAAGCCTCAATGAGGAGCGATAATTCTGTGCTCCATAAACAAATCTCTTTTTGACTCTTACTCACATTACCTGAGAGAAGTTCAAATCTCATGCTGTCCATTTGGGCCAGTGGGCTGCTTCTCATCTCTGTGTTTTTTTCTTTAGATATTAGGATCAAGGAAGAGGAACCTGATCCTGAAGAGTGGCAGCTCAGTGGTGATTCTACATTGAATACCAATGATTTAACACACTTAAGAGTACAGGTGGTAGATGAAGAAGGGGACCAACAACATCAAGAAGGAAAAAGACTTCGAAGGGTAGCTTGCACCTGTCCCAACTGTAAAGAAGGTGGTGGGAGGTATGCACATATGAAACATTTCATTTTTTAAAAACTGTTAATATCACCTTAATTTTAAAATACTGCATGCTGTGCAGCATAATATGGGAAATTCATTACATGATCATTTGGATGTGTGTGTGTGAGTGTGGCAGAAAAGATTAGAGAAAATACGTGATATTTTCAGATGTAAATGCCTTTTTAAAAATTTAGAATTACTTAGTTTGCATTTTAAAAACCAGTTATTAACAAGTTCATAGTAGAGTTAAAGAAGCAATAGGAGTTAACCTAAACATACCTCATTGCCTTCGAGTTGGAACCAACTCGTTGCTGACCCTCCAGCAGGTTTTCTGGGACTGTAAAATTCGTGGGAGGAGATTTGACCTGTCTACCTTTGAGTTGGCAGTGCTGCTCCCTATGGACTATGCCACCAGAGCTCCTTCATAGATTTTTTTTAAGGACAGACTAACCACAGAAATGAACTGAAAATAGATTAGTAATTAGCTTAACAAAGAAGAGATTGACTCTCAGATCATATATTATCTAAAAATCCTACATTATGTTGATTATGAGAAACACTATTATTGATCATATGAAAACGCATGATAAATCAGTAAAAGTGGTTTACAAGATAATACTGACATTCTCTGTATAAGCAATGCTAGATCTCAAGCAGTATGTGATTAAAGTAAAATGATCAGATGGGTAGATTGGGATATATTTTTGTTAATGATATGAAGATACCACAAATAATAAGTCTCGATGCCTGTTTGTGTTAACTTCAAGACACAGAAAAAAGTTTCTATAATTGAGCTTCCTTAGAAAACTAAAGCCATACTAACTCAATACTCTGTTAAAGTGAGAATTAGTAAGGACATACTGTTATAACTCAGTTAACTTTGTCTTGTTAACGGAAAACATCTGTAAGTCTGTTTGCATTAATAAAATAGAAAGTAACAGTGAAAAGATTGACTCATTCTAGCATTGACAGAGTGGTGTTTTTTAGAGACTGTAATTTATGTAAGTGAAATGTAGAGAGATTAACTTTAAAAAATCATACATAACTGGAATTTGCACCCAATTTCTTACTCCAAACTGGTAACCACTAAACTGTACTGCCTCCTAAATGAATCTGCTTTTGCATCTTATTCTTAAATAATTCATTTGTATTTATTGGTAATTGATACCGTTAAAATTCTTTAGAATGTTTTGGTCAATGTAAATAGTTTGAAGTTCTGTTTAGGCCATATTATTGAATAAAGTTCAGGAATCATTTCATAGGACCTTTCAAGATACATATTTAGGAATAGCAAATCTAATTGAAGGTTAAGGCCCAGTTTGCAGTTAATTTACTAAATATTATTTTCAGTGATTGTAAAACTTATATATTTGCACCAATTCAGAAATACAGAAAAATAGTTAGAAAAATGACCACTAAATTTATACTCCACTATAAACTTCTGTAGATATTCTTCTAGACTTTATATATATTTAAAGTACAGTCATCTTCTTTTTCACCATTTCCATGTCTTTTTGTTGTTTTGAAAGTTTGGGAACCATGTTTTCAAGTATATATAATCTGCATCAATATTTTATGCTTGGTATTTGATTATATGGCTATATGAGGACATTTAAATGTTTAGTTGTCATAATTTTTACACATTTAACTGATTATTGCACTAATTCAAGTTGACAGAACTGGAGTTGTTGGATCAAAGTTGATTGCTAGGAAGGCTGTATCAATTACTACTAATGGTGTGTGGGAATCCCTGCTTTCTAACTTCCTTGTCGGTAATGGGTGTTATCTTTGCTTTGTTTTTCCTGTAACCTTTTGAAGTCTGACATAGAAAATATAATATCTCTGTATTGTCTTGTTAAGAAGTTTAACATTTTTGTCTGTCATTTAAGATTTTTTTTTATAACTTGTCCTTTGTGAACCTGTCAGTTTATGTTAACTGTCATACATACAATGTTTTCCCCAGTTTTAACTTTTTTTAACTTTGTTGTTGGTTTGCAAAATGTTCCATTAACAAAGGCGGCTTGTATCATTTAAAATTGAAGGGTTTCTATCTCAGAGATTATAAAAATATTTACTAATTTTTTTTTCTAGGACTTTTGTGAGTTCTCTTTTTGATAACTTCATACATTGAAGTTTTCTAAAAAGACAGACAACTGTAGTGTGTCTTAGAGAACAGTTGAATAAAATTCATCTTATATATACATAAGAACAGTTGTGTCACAATTGTTGCATTTAATTAGTAAAATAACATGGAGTAAGTTTAAAATATTTCAAAGTGGTTTTACCAAAAGTAAAATGAGAAATAATGAATTTAGATATTGGCCTTCTTTCTTAGCCATTTTCTTAAAAAATGGAAGAATCTCTAAAGACTTAATATTCACTCATTTTACAGATGCCTCCACTTGCTTAGCTGATAGGTAAAACATAAGCAGATTTTCTTTAATTCTGTTAATACTAATTTGGTTCTTTAGTTAATTTGTACTAAGTAGATCCAGTGTTTCAGAGAGTTTGAATCTAGTGGAGGGGAGAAATATTATTATAATAACATAAAATATATTCTAAAGCATTAACATTGTCTTCAGTTTTGTCTGGCTTTAAACATATTTTTTTTTTAAATCAAGTTTGTTATATCTGTTTTCTTCTGTCAACATTTCGCCTCATTTTCCTTTCCCCCACTCATACACAGACTGAAACACATGGAGTCACTTAGTTTTCTTAAATCACTTCTACCTATATTATTCTACTTGACATTATTACGTTGTTGAAGCAAATGTACTCAGTTAATGGAAACTTGAAACCATTCGTTTTCCAGGGTACTTAGTTATTAGTGGTGTGGTTCTCTCAATCACAGGAAACCGTATAACCAAATCTTTTTCTTTCTGAAGTTTGCTGAGAAATTAATTTCAGTTCTGTCCCATCCCAGTGCCATAAATCCATGTAGTTCCTATCTTGAGTCAGATTTTCTTTTTGAATCGGGGCCAGGGCTTTCCCCTAAATAATTTTGTGACCCATTGTTCCCCCCCCCACCCCCACCCCACCCCACCCAATAGGTGGATACCTGTCTCATTTTCAAATGATACTCATTTTTTTTGTGTACTTATTAGTCATTTGAAAGCATTTTTCCCTAGCTTCTTGATTACTTGAGAATCTAGATTTGTTACTCTAAATTGATTATGGCAAACTCATTGCCACTGAGTTTGGAACTAACACATAGCTTACCCTCTAGATTTGTTACTCTAAATTGATTATGGCAAACTCATTGCCACTGAATTTGGAACTAACACATAGCTTACCCTCTAGTGGGCTTTCAGAGGCTGTAAATTACCTACCTCTCTCCCTCAGCACTGGTGAATTCAAGTCACCACAGAGATGCTGTCTTTGGGTTAGCAGTCCAGCTCCATGTGAACTGTGCCACCAGAAGCTAGATTGTGCTCGCTCCCAAGAGAGATTGTGCTAAATCTGTGAAATTGCACTTTGGAGTTTAAAAAAGCACATTTATAGACCTCAGTAGGCTTAGAAGAGGAAAAAGTCGTTAAGTACAAGAATGAATTGAATTGTGTTCTCTCTGAATTGCTATGGTGAACACGTGTAAGATGGTTTGTACACTAGTGACTACAAACATTACTCTTTCTTAGGGGTATTTAAGAATAGAATAAGTCAAAAAACCTAAATTGAAAGGAAACAGTATTGACTTTGGTTAAGGCTTTGGCCTTAAAGATGAGCCAGAAAAACCTGTTTCACTCAACCTTAGCTCTGAAGAGAAATTGGGGGTGGACTGGAGCAGAAACTAGAATTGTTAGCTTATGACATCCTTGCCCTTGAGACAACAGCATGACTCCTCCTTGTCTTTACTTATGCTATTCCTCTGCCTGGAATGCCTTCCCTCCTTTCTATCTAAATCCTACCCACCTTCTCCACGAAGCCTTCTCTAACTACTGGAGCCCACATTGATGTCTCCCTGTTCAGAACACCTATGGCATCTAACAGCCAGCACTGCACCGTTTAACACTGTTTGTCCTATGGCAATTTCACATGCTACTGAGTGTGAGTACATTACAATATAAATGTGGGGAAATATGCATTTTTCCAGTAAAATTAGAAATAGGTGTATTATGTACAAGAGGGTATGCAGGTTATGGAACATTTATAGGATACACTGAGATTGTGTGGGAGGGGCTGGGAAGTTTTAATGCATTTTAAAAATCTCAGAAACGGTGCATAGTTTGTGCCAAATGATTTGACAACCCGTATGTTTTAAAAAGCCACATGTTTTGATAATTCATTTTAATCAGAAGCCTTTCTCCCTCGTTTTTAAGCCTGAGAAATAAAATTTTGTGTAGCTCTTTAATACTATTTGAATAGTCATTCTGAAATAAAAACATTTTCTTCGTAAACTATCTCCTTTTAATCTAAGTACATATATCCCATTACCTGTTTTTAGTATCAAATGCAGAAATAAAACAAATGTTATATTTGGAGATGCTTAGAACATTATATTTTACCTAATGTCAAAGAACCTTTGCATAGTTAGAATGAAGGAAAGTTGAATTGCATACATAATTATGAGTTACATTTACAGTGCTTAAGTGTCTGAGGCCAAAACTTAAGCTATATTTTTGATTGTTTGATTATATCCAAGTCAGTGTATATTCATAAGTTGACCTTAAAGTCTGCTTAAACTGCCTTTTTACCTTTTAAATTGTGCCTAAGATCAGTTATAGGTTTAGTCTTTGGTTTATTTTTAAATTAGCTGACATATTACCATTCAAGTTCTCATGAAGCTAACATAGTTTAATTGGGCTTATGTATAGCATTTGTGATGGGTTTTGAAGGACTTGTAAAAAATTTTATTATGCATTCATTCTTTGTGAGGTGCCAATTTAATAACAGTTCATATATATATTTGCACACAAATATTACACAGTAATGTAGTATTAAACAGCAATATTACACAGCAATGCACAGCAATATTATGTTGATTCTTGAATAAAATGTATAGGTTTGGATGTTGGCGTTCATTTGAATTGATCTTAAATGGCATTGGTTCTGACCTCTTAGTCTTCTATTTTATATTTTTTTAATGTAGATTTTAAGAGTTAATGACCCTTTGAATGTTTATATATATATATAATTCTGTTGTTTGTTGGGTTGTTTTTTTTTTTTAGAGGAACTAATCTTGGGAAAAAGAAACAACACATTTGTCATATACCAGGATGTGGTAAAGTCTATGGGAAGACCTCACATCTGAGAGCTCATCTGCGTTGGCATTCTGGGGAGCGCCCTTTTGTTTGTAACTGGATGTTCTGTGGTAAAAGATTTACTCGAAGTGATGAATTACAGAGGCACAGAAGAACACATACAGGTTATTGATAATTTATTTTAAAATAAATACTGTAGAGATAAGTACACCCTTGAGATTTTCTTTTAGCCTACATTAAATAAGTTAAAATTTGAAATATTAACTAGCTTTTTTTCATCAAAACCACTTCTAAAACATTGACTCCAAAGAATGAGCTCACAGGGCTCATAAGATGATTTTGTTTTGTTTTGTTTAGATTTTAGTTAGCTTTTTGTTGGTAATGATAAATGTTTTAAGCCAGTTTATACTCTTTTTTTTTTTTTTAATTATTTTTTGTGCATGTACCGTCAAATCAGATCTGACTGGTACAGGAGGATATTGTCCCTCCTTCTCCGGCAGAGCATCTGGTGGATTCAAACCGTGTACCTTTGGGATTGCAGTACAGCTTCTTGCCACTAGGCTACCATATGCTCTATTTTTTAATATTTTTAATTAGCTGTTCCCTTTTACTGTTAACACTTTACTATTTTGTCTAAAAATTTTTTTATTTTGATAAATTTAGGCACTTTTCCTTTTATGTTTTAATACTCATGAAGTAAGCAGAAGATGTACTCTCTCATTTTATTGATGAGCAGCCTAACTTGGAGATACTTTTCTCCTGGTAGCATGTAAATGGCCACGGTATATAACAGTCTGTGTTTAATAGAGGAAAATTGAAAATACTTTGGCAGACACTTTCAAGAATATTTGTAGAGTGAGAAACTTTTTGTAACAATTAAGTGACAATGGAATTTTACATATTTCTGTTGAGTGCTAGCTGTCTTGGTAAATTAGAGAAATACTGAAACAAGTTACACTTTAGTACAATGACAGAGTTTTATAATATTAACAAAAATTCAGAATTTTAGAAAAACTCTTAAATTTTTTTTATTGTTAGCCATGATGCACCTAGAGTAGAGCTGCCAGAACACAAGAATATATAAGACATTTTGAAGGGAAAAAATTTACTAGATTTTGCTTATTATATTTCTTTCTGGCTTTTTTATCCATTAGTCTTCAGCCATCTATTTCATTAATTCTTCTGAGTAAATAGTAGACTTCCAATATAGCAAATCTCTTTTGTATTTAAAAAGAAAAGTTTATTCATGCCTTGCAGTAAATTTCATTGTCAGACTCTTAGTACTAACAAGCCTGCAAGATTAGGCTTACTCTTGGTTATCCCAGGTGAAATCATGGCAATTTAGCTATCTTTATTCTTGAATAACTGGAGTCTTACTGTATTTCAAACTTGTCTCTTCACTTTAAACTAAAAGAACTCTATGTAGTTACATGAATTTAGATTTAATTGTTGACAATTTAGTGTCACAGATAAAGAATGCTAATATCTTAATTATAGGTTAAAACATGGTACTTTATTTGATGGTTAATTAAATGTTATTAGCAGATTTTTAACTGGCATATTGAAACAAGTGTTACAGAAGATACTTAGCATAGTTGAGAGTTTTTTTTTAAATTTGAATAGTAATCATACACTTATTAAGTTAAATCATTTTGTGAAATAATAGAGGTACCATTTATTTTGAGTAAGTATCCTGTGAGAGCTTATCACTAATGTAATAACATTTTAAAACAGTCTCCCCAGCCATTGGCTTACTGTCTGTGTCAGTATATGACCGGTTGTAAGTGGTGAATTTTAAAACTGAGTACTTTCACTTTTTACCTAACAGGTGAGAAGAAATTTGTCTGCCCAGAATGTTCAAAACGTTTTATGAGAAGTGACCACCTTGCCAAACATATTAAAACACATCAAAATAAAAA